AACATTTTACATTGTCGACTCTTCATCGCAAAGGTGGATTTTTATTTGTGAAGAAGTGTATCTATTTACATGTTCAGTTTTTAAACAAGTTTTAAACTGGGCACATACGTGTGACAGAGAGAGAGAGAGAAATGGGGTTTAACGTCCACTCGACACAAACTAGGTCATTTTGGGACTAACATATGGTTTAATTTTATTTCAATAATTCGCTTGCGCGTAGGGGTCTTTAGCAGTAGGAGGAAACCGGAGGACCCGGAGAAAACCCACGAGGTTGGACATGCTACCCTACTCCTTGTCACTTACAACCGGTGATTCGAAACCACACCAGTGCTAACCATTCAGCCATCCAAATCCCCATACGTGTGACAAAGTGCTTAATTTTCTATTTTATAAAATACGAACTATTATTTAGATGCAGTGAACTTATTGACCCCAGCTGGTTTTGATAACATATGATATCGGCTTTTCAACTATACACTTTGTTCTAAACACGTACATACTAATTAAAGACTATCAATTCCACATGTATATATTTATATCAGTCAGCGAAATTTTGATAACTTAAGACAAATGAAGATAGTAATGATCTCGTATGTGTAGACCCAGTTGAAAGGTATATAACCATCAGTTGCAGACGAGAGACAATTTAAGCGGGGAGAAGAGAGTAGGTGAGACCGGCTGATGGGCTCATCCGAGTTTAGCCGCTGCTAACGATTGTACGATAATAAACAAAGTCTCGATTATCCATTTTTACGTCAAATTATCCATTACAAAATGCATTCAAATCCACTAAATATCACAGGTTAATGATGTCATCGAGAGTTGATTATGGTCTGGATAAGTTAATAAGTTAATTAATGTAGGTACCTACTACTAGGAGTATGGACGTAAAGTTATGTGTAGTAGAGACAACTCGGCAGGTGGTTTCCGCCACATCCCCGTCCATCTAGTAGTAATGACCAAGACCCCCCCCCCACCAAAACATATAAATTCTATAGGAAATAAGTGTATAAAACATATGCATATTGACACAAAAACAGAAGAAAAAAATACATAGTCGTGAAATCGTTATTAATCACAGTGTATGCTTTGTTTTGTTACTTGTCAACGCAAGATTAAATATAGTTGTTCATCAATGGGTGCCAATTTTTTGACCACAAGATCTGCGGGAGCAACCCTTGAATAGTCGGGGTGGGGTGGGGAATGGCCAATGTGTACACAGGATCTCGGATTTTCGTCCAATCAGGACCACTAGACTTTGTTCATCACACATTGACATGGGGAAACTTTGTTCATCACACATTGACATGGGGAAACCTCGCCAAAAAACATCAGACGTAATTTCCCATCCAGTTATTAAGCCAGCTCCTTACGGAGCCGTGGGGGTGGGGTGGAGGATTGCCGAGTGGTTAGCACGTGCGAGCTGTATCATAGGTCTGTCTGTCAACTGGCGTGGTTTTGATTCCCCAGTTGTACGTGGCAAGGAGTAGGGTCGCCTGTCCAACCCCATGGGTTTTCTCCGGGTCCTCCGGTTTCCTCCCACTGCTAAAGACCCCTACGCGCAAGCGAATTATTCAAATAAAATGGAACCATGTGTTAGTCCCGAAATGACCTTGTATCGAGTGGACATTAAACCCATCTCTCTCTCTCTCTCTCTCTCTCTCTCTTGAATCGTTGCCGGAAAATTGATTATGTATGAGCAAACATAAAGCTGTGACACGTAACACCAATGGTTGCCTAAAAACTCAACAAGCGCAAAAAATCGCCCGCGTAATCCAGGCTTTAGTCAACAACTTCAAAATCGTTAATATTCAAACATGATCTTTGATCAGCCACTTGCATTTTGGCTAGGAGCCCAATCTTTCTGATATTGTTTGATATTAGAGAACATGCAACCGTCCATTATAATTGATTGTAAGATTTGATTTACATAATTTTTCTTGGCATGAATTGACGTTTTAGGCGCCTGTTTTTCTGAGTCATAGGACAATATCGGACAATGTAACAGGGATGCAATGAAATATTTGAGGAGAAGTGAAACCCAATGTATTTCATTCTAAAGGAAAAGCTGTTAGATAAGAAATATTAATCTGTTTATATTATTATACCAACTATTTCATACAAATCAACAATATTTAATATAAATACATAAAAATGTAATAGACAATATTTAATAAAAAATACATAATAATATAATATAGTGGAAATAAATCTACATATTGTAGGCTATAATTGTACAATTGGGTCCACTTATACCTTCCCGACAAACGTCATCCAAACTATATATCGTAAATCCCCTGCTCCCAACATGTGTTATAGCTCGGCCATTTTTGACCATTACAAAGATCATGCTTGTAACCACAGATTAGTCCAAATCGAAGACTAACATTAACCATTATGAGATTTGTCTTCTCAAAATTTCATTATTATGGTCGAATTCCTTAATATTTTCGGAAATGACAGATTTCCGAGAATGTAGTAGATACAACATAAAAAGGCAAATTTTATTTCGGGAAAACGCCGCGTAATTTCAGTTTTACGTTACTATAATGTGGTGCTATTAAACTGGACATGTTGATATTTAATTGTCTAAGCATTCTAGGTCAAAGCAGCTGATCTAATATAAAATATACAACTGTTACATTCAACCTTAATACAATATACAATGCTTATATTGTTTATATTATCGATAATTAGATGCGCATGCTATAATATACAAAATTAGGAACTTATGTTTTCTTAATAAACTATGACATGTATGTATTAATGATATACCTTCGTTTCGGAGAGAATTCCCTTCTCAATGTTATCATGTTTATCCTCTTGGGTGTTTTGGTAGAGAGTGGCAATTATTCTTGTAACACGCACTATAGCGTAATAAACAACACGATTAATCAATCTTCGCGTTTTTCTATTTGAATCTGTAATCCTTGCTTTCAATAGTTCAATAAGAACATTACCAACAATAGGGTACAGTGAAGTGTTATCTAATTTGATGTATAAGACGTCTATTTCTAAGTTAAGTAATGGATTTGCAGTTTCCTTTAAACGTGTTTCTTTGATTTTAAAGGCTAAGTAAGATCATTGATCTGGATTTTCCCAAGTACGTGTGCGGTGATGACGTTGTTTTAAGTGCTCCTACATTTCGTTATCAATGCAAGGTTACCCTTCATACTTGTACAAAGATAAAAGGATTTTCCTACTTTGTTCTACTTTATTTTGCACAAGGAATCTTGTTTACCTGATTATAAAATCCAGTACTAGGTTATCACAATGTAGGCCTACCATTTAATATAGAAACTTTTCCCCAGGAACTAAATGATGTTAGTGGCATCTTAAAACTAATGGTCAATGGTGAAAATCGTGAAGGTGTAATTATTAGTGACCTCCCAGTGGATTTATAAGCCCACAGATCACCAATTATTTTCCCATTAACTTTAATGTTAATTTTCGTCTCTTAGACCGGCTCTAACTTTTCCCCAAATTTTCGTTGGGTAGAACGCTTTTTACCACAGATGGAGCAACATGTGACAACCTCTTGCTCACAAGCACGTATGAGGTTCACCATAGACAACTTGAGATACACAAACTGGAAATAGAAACCAAAAAACATGCAACTGTCCGCCCCACATTTCAACCCAACCAACCTCTTAACTCTCGTATCCTTCCGAATTAAAATCAAGAATATTCGCCAAAACCAGGAAGAAAATGTATATTCAAACCCTTTTCTTCGATTCTACACCAAACAATTAACAAAGAGCAAAAAGGGGAAAGGGAAAGAAAGACTAAAAATAACTTTGGCGGCATAGGAATAATTGGTGAGCTGAGTCTATACCTGTTGATTACCTGACAGTCCAACCTTTACAACTGTCTTCGGGTAATACCACAGTATACCTTTCGCCTACATACATGATTAAGGCTACCGAATAGTGATAACGATATTAGTCACTGGAGAAAAAAAATTAACGCCGGTAGTAGTCAAAACAATCCAGACAACTGACTTTGTCTAGTTTTCTTTTTTAACCTTTGAATATCCTATTACTGGTACAATACAGACTCTTAATAGGGTCCCTAAACAGGAGTTAATGTATACAGAACATTTAAATAACGACCAGTCTTCATGAGCATTCGGGAATACGACCCTAATCATATACCACAATGTAATCATATGAATACATAAACAATACTAACATGTAAATTATATACAGCTTACCACAACCCTTCTCCCCATCTTGTATTAAAGTTACAATTTCATATTTTTAAATTATATTTTAAAAATGTATAAAAATAAAGCCCTAAAATAGATGGTATCTATAAACAGTCCTACCTTGTTAAAGAATAATCCTATTAATCCTATAATTCACTATTGCCAGTTGAGAAATTGGCAAAAATATCATTTTCCACTTCAAATTCAAACGTTTGAAGATAGCTAGTCAATGGTGGGCAATATGAAAACAAGGGGAGTAATTGTGTTATTATTTCCGGTGTGAAGATTTGTAAGTGTGAGAAAAATAACCTATGACCGTATAATAGTGAGTTGACAACCTATTGAGCAAAAGACATAAAAATAATTATGTTTTGACTTTCTTAGAAAATATGAAATTGTAACTTTAAATGTAAGCCATTTTCGTTTTCATTAACTTAACGAGCGAGATATATGATCCCAAAATGATTATTATTTGAAGGTGCCGGGCATATAAACTCAATATAGGACAAACAGCCCTGTGGACAAAACCCCCTTCAAAACCCCCATTCTGTATAAGAACGAAAGACTATAACAGACATTTCTATTTGATTGGTTTTATCCACTTAAAAAAATGTAAGCAAGCATGGGGGTTTGCCCGGTCATGTATCTTTTAAAAAAAGGTTTGTCGTAAGGGGTTTTATCCTATTAAATATATATCTATAATACGTCTGTAAATCTTTAAGTCTGTCCATCCAGTGTTTATTTATGTCCACAGACTAGAACTGGAACATGCGAATGATGTATGATATAATCACTGACACTGCCTAATAATGTTCTCCTGACTGTACCAAGACCACGTGTTCCTGTCACAATGCAATCCACTTTCTCTGTTTCACTGGCTTTAACAATAGCATGGCCTGGGTCACCAGATAACCTCAACATACGACATTTTACCTGAAAAGTATATAAATAAAACCAGTTACAGATAGATTCAATATAAGCTAGATACCAAAATCTGTCCACAACCTCACTTGCATTTCACGTGATGTGTACACCCGACTTAGGGCTGGGAAACGGTATAGTGTAAATAGCGTACAGATGCTAAAATCGCTCCAAGTGTATAGTTTTTAAAAAGCTGAATAGGCAACAAAAGCACCTGAAACCGCGCTGATTTATAATAATGGGGGAAACGAAATCGTGCGCATTAAGCTGTTTGATAAGCATATGACATGTTGTGGACTTGAAATTGGGTAAATCACAACAAACTACAAATCACAATGATCTGGAAATAATAAACATGCCACATCTCGTATACACGACACGAGTTAAAACAAAATCCAACAATTCACCATTTAATACGCAGTATCCGACCTGACCTCAATCGATTCAGCGGAATACTCGGTATAGTCCAAGCGAAAACAATGGAGAACGCTATCCATAGTTTAGAAACATGTCACTTAACAGTTTCAAAACAAACGATATTAATTTTAAAAAAATAATCTTACACCAACTACGTTGACTTTTTCTTTAATCTTGCTGATGATTTTATCTACTTCCGCTTCCTCTTCTTTCATTAAGGCCGCAATCAAGGCAGGGTCGCTAGATATAATAGCTGTAATATAGATCACAGGTAGCTATAATTTAAATTATATAACAGATAAAGATATGAACAGTAAAATACATCAAAGCAATGGAATCGGTATAGTAAAGGGGCATTATGCGAGAGCTAATTTTGCTTATTTCCCAATCTGATTAAAACACAGATCCTATTTCGTTTCGTTTTGTTTTTTATAGTTCAAAATTTCGTTTTACTTGTCTTTACTACACTATGATCTGGAAGAGTTATTATATAACCCGTGTCACACTATATCTTACAGATAACAGAAGATCAGCATAATTGATAAGACCTTTATTGAGAACATGAAATAGACATAAACCGGGAGGAGGTCTATTCCAAGTCTGACTTGCTGTCAGTAAACGGCTGCTTATATAGCGTCTAACAATTAGGGGAGATGGACAGGAGTGATAATCATATATGGTATTGTTTATTATCAAATTATGGTGTTTGTAATTACACTGTATATTTCTTTGGAAGTCATTGTCAAGTCAAGGCACTGACCACTAATACATTTTCTTTGAAGTTTTTGTCTAGTGTTATACACGGATCACGTGTAGCTTGTAAAGAAATATTGAATAAACTAGATGTTTAAAGATACATTATGGGAGATTAGATAACGAGTTGGCAGTTATCACTATAATAGTTAAAAACTACATAATGTAAAGGCAACTTGCTGAAAATTTCAGTCAAATTGATCCACTATGAACCGAGAACTAAGCGGATGAAAGTTCCGCTTAGCCTCGATCATCATTACTGAAGTCGATAAGACAAAACTAATAGTCTTGATTATCCATTTAATCGTTAATCACGAAGGAAAGTTTTGCAGCAAATCGGACTGTAATCCAACAAATATCGCAGGCAAGCCTTGACATCGAGAGCTGATTATGGTCTGGATAAGTTAATTAATGTCTAATTAATAGTTTTTATAACATTTCAGGCCTAAAGAAAGACCTACAACAGGCCGATTTTGCTCTTGCATAATGTATGTTTAATAAGATCGTGCCTTAACAGAAGTTATAGAGAGTTTAAACGTCAACTTCAGGTATAGATTACTTTGTCACCCCGTAAGGGATTAGCCAATGAAACGGTTTGTTGCGGCGAGTTCTTGGCTTGCGGTGCACGGAACTGTGGGTATTCACCTAGAAACATCAACGCTTATTAGTTAATCAAATGTTTGACGCCATAGCGTCAAAAACCGCTCATTTTACCTCTGACCCGACTCCCACTACAACCGATCATATCTTCATGTAGTTGAGGCCATCGAAAGTATACAAAAACGAAAAAAAGCATATTTCTATTCCTTTTTATGGTTTTAAATTTTATATAAATGAATACGTTAAACAATTATTCACAAGACAAGTCGATAACCAACTATCTAGATCAACTGATGGTTTAGCTATTGAGTGGATTAGACCATGACAGCCACGTCTGCGTTATAGACAATAATAAATTTACCGATAATGCATGCCGCCACTCACGTTGATGAAATGATTGACAATCAAGAAGTCGCCCATTATCGTGGAAATGGTAATTGACAATCGAGAATATGAACTATGAGTTTCCACCTGCCAACGGTCCGCAATTCCTGGAAATCGTCGGAATTCAAAACTTCACTCAGAATAAAATAATTTGACTTAAACTATTAATGGTGTGCTTATTATGGCCGTAATATTTGTTTGATGAGTATATGGTACTAATCCTTATGGGGGGTGGGGGGTAACTTGAACGTAATGTCATCGACTCCACTCAATAAAACCGTGTAGTCATGATGATAAGCTGACGTACGATTTCAACACACATCATCTAATCAATGTCCTCGATCTTTTAAAATATAGGTTATATATCTAAAGTTATACAGATAAAATGTAGTGATACAGATAGCGTCCAATCAAGTATATGCAAATAACGAAAGGCTTAGATTATGTGAAATAGACAGAAGATTTCTAAAACTCGCATATTTACCGTTTCATAACGAATCAATCCAATTACTCACCACTCTGTTAAACCTGGGAAGAAAACGCTCAAGACAAGCTGCTGGGCAAGCTATTAATGTAATATGTAATATACCTTTACACTCCGTTTCATCACTTGCACTCAATTAAAATCAGAGTTATTGTGTTCCAAAGCATTCATACTGCTAATTGGTATTGCAGATGTAATGAAACCATCTACCAAAGTCTCGACCTATCCAATGGCGTATCGTTTGCTAAAAACGCTCATCATCAATCTCGGTCCAGACATGCAGCCAATCTACACCCATCAGAAGTAGGGTTATTGGGTTCCAGGAGGTGTGATGGACACACAGACGAACAGCTGTGTAGCCTGAGAAGAATATGCCCATTATCGACCTCAACAAAGACATTCAACTAATGCATATTTACATCCACAATAATCTTTGAACATCCTATATACCAAGCTTGAACAATCTACCTCCGTTACTGTGTTCCAAAAGGTGTGACGTGCAATACAGGCGAACCAAACTATTTCAAAAATAGATAATGAACCAGTACAGCATTTGTTTCGGAAAAGTAAATTTAAGTCAGCTAGACCCCGCACTCAGCCCCACCCAAACACCACCGGTTATTCTACTTTTTCGGATTACAATACAAAGGGACCGGGGAAGGGGGTAGCGTTCTATAAATTCCATACGCCAAAAGATCCTTTATGTCCTTCACCAATTTATAATATAAACAATAAACGAATAGACACATTTTGCGAACAGATTGAAATAGGGCTTCAATTAATCTTAAATATTTCTTTCAAAATATGTTGGGCACAAGTTCACTGGCCATGCCGCGTATGTAACCTTCTTAAAAAGAAACGTCTAAATGCAATATTTATACGAAAGTACGAGATTTAACAAGTGATTTACAGTCTAGTATATGAGCTATAATTATATAGGAAAGTTTACTTACGTGATTTAACAAGTGATTTATAATCTGGTACATGGGCTATAATTATATGATTATCTGGTTTATGTATATTATCCATATACCCTGAAAAAATTAAATGATACAATAGATTATCCATATATTCAGTAATATAAACATACATTATCCATATACACTGAGATATAAATAATACATTATGCGTGTACCCTGTAATATAAACAATACATTATCCATATACACAATATATAGTCCATATACATTATCCATATACCGTGTACTGTAGTATAAACAATACACTATCCATACACTGTAGTATAAACAATACACTATCCAATCAATATACCCTGTAATATAAACAATACATTACCCATACACAGTGTAATATAAACAATATATAATCCATATACACTGAGATATAAACAATGCCTTGTCAAAATATACTAAATATTTTCTAATGGCGACCACCATTAACAAACACATTACAGGAGAAACGTAATGACTGACCGTGCGCCAACGAGCTAACAATATTGTATTAGGTGGTGCTTGTTTTTTCCCGATCAAATTGGAATTCAGAATCACGATGCTACACCACACGGATGAAATCAATGTATATCAGAAATCGGAGATTGTTCTTTGTACTGCAGGGTATCTAGGATACAGTTGAAGCATACGTTCGGGTTCGTACTTCCCCTTTAAAGTTCATTGTTATAGGTAGTTTACTCAATCACGTCTTGATCTCATTATATGGCTTTAGGACGCCGTTAACATAACAATCAAAATCAGTCACAGAAAATCCCACGAAACCTTTCATAATCAAAAGAAGGATCCGCAATAGGCAAATTTAGCCCTTATATAATGTGTCTTTAATTTCATGACGCATTAAATTTATTATCTTTTATCTGTTATGGTAACGCCCTTTTAATTCTAATCGGTAGTACACTTGATCAATTTATTTGAATTCCTGGTTAATTTCACAAATTCTGCCGGGTGCTTGTTCTACTTCAACGAAGCAATTACCCTAAGCTCTCGTTAGTATCCTTTATCCCACTGCTGAAATAATATTTACTTTGGCTCTATACCATATTTAAAATACCGGCCTAAATCCCACGTAATAGCCATATAAATTGATTTAAAGGGCATACAGCTCTATTCTTTAGAAACGTAAAATAGACAAACATGGGTTTAAGTTAAGCACATATTTGTAATATTAATGTATTTAAAGATGGGCTCCCAGAAAAGTATTTATCGGGTGGTTATTTCCAATAAAAGTATGTTAATTTTGGTATATATGGAAAGTAGAGATATCCAATCTTACTAGAAAAATACTGGATTCCCCGAAAAACACTCATGGAGCGTATACAGGACAAAAATGTAAGGGTTCCCCTAATCAACAGCCCGACGATTAGGAATTTCTGCACGCGAACATTGAAGGCTTGATGTACAAGTTGATAAACTTTATGATGTTAGACACTTTCTGAGATAAAAATGACGGGAAAAGACGATATTTGTAATAAATAGTAAGCGATTAAAGACAACGTCGTCTTATGTATGCAATGAATTCTCCTCTGACTTCCAAGTGAGGTAAGTCACGTGACGTAAACATGACCTGGTTTGATCGAATTTTTACAGCAGGACATTCCTTCGCAATTACAATGTTTGAGAAGGATTTGAAGCAAAGTTATGACAAATTAATTAGTTTGAATCCATATATACCATTAAATCACACAGTTTGTACGCGGGAACCCATCTTTAAAGTGATATATGAACATTTATTGTAATTTCTACTCAATTATGGTCGGTCGGTGAAGATTCCAAATTGAACTACAGTCGTTTACGCCTGGCTAGTCCATTCTACACAAATTTTATTATTATTTTGTTGTTAATGAATCAGCCATTAATATTACTTTTGCATTGTCTTGATTACAAATGGGGGCCGAAACCATAGAATACACGATTCGTGTACTGATTATAAAATGTTGATTGTGTCTTAAATATTTTCACAGCAAGATAACAACATCAATATTGATTGAAATGGACGAATATTGAATTCTAATTCGTGTTTTTAATTTCGAATATTATGGAAAATATTAGAGGTTTAGCCCCTTTAAGTAGTACTGGAAAACGGGTTATTAATAAAACATTCGATTAAGCCACCAGTATGTAAACAATAACTAAACACAGAACCCCAATACTAAGCCATTTACAAAAACTATCATATTATCCACTAGAATAATATATCTTAACTATGCCATTATTTTGCTAACAAGATGGTTCTAAAAGAGTAAATTAGACAATAAGCCGTTTAATCGTGATGTGATTATATCAATTCACTCAGACAATACATATATTTATACTAGATACGTTCAGAGTATATCATTGGAATTTTCTATAATAGAAACCAATAAACGCGAGTCGAGTAATGATTATTTTAACCGTATTATTGTTTTGAATACAATGTATATTTAACCATAGCAACCGATTTCCCAAAAAGTTCAATTATGCTATAGCTATTTAAAACGTAGGTCAACATCGTAATTTATTTGACAAAACATATAATTACGCTTTCGTACATACATTATGGGAGATTAGATAAAGAGCTGGCAGTTCTCACTATAATAGTTAGAAACTAGATAATGTAAAGGGAATGTGCTGAAAATTTCAGTCAAATTGATCCACTCTGAACCGAGAATTTAGCGATCGAATTTTCGGCATAGCCTCGATCACCATTACTAAAGTCATAGTCTCGATTATTCATTTCATAATTAAATCATGAATGAAAGTTGAGCAGTAAATCGGATCCTAATCCACTAAATTTCACAGGCTAGCGATGACATCGAGAGTTGATTATGGTCTGGATAAATTAATTAACGTCTAATTAATAATTTATATAACATTTCAGGCCTAAAGAAAGACCTGAAATGGGCAGAGTTAGCTCTTGCATAATGTATTTTTAATTACACATCATTTAACATCAATAACAAATCTCGTTTATTTTTTGTAAAGTAATTATACACCTATGCTACTTTGATGAAACTCCTCACAATTGTCCCTTTTTTTTGTCTTTACGACAAGTCAACACGAGCCTTATTGCGTAATACGTGAAATCCGGATCAACCAGACCCCTAAAAGTGCATACAATAAAGGAGGTGAATGCTAACTGTGGGCCGGTTGGCGAGGTTCGGGAATTTCCGACGTCCACAATGGCCACTTTATATGAGTATTTTGGAGAATACTAACCCTAACCTTTTTAAGAGGGCTAAAAGGTAAATTGGATCCAACTTCAGTCTTCTAAAAAGGGTTAGGGAATAAGGTTATTCCCCAAAATACTCATTTATATAACGCGGCCATTGTGGACGTCCGGAAATTCCCGAACCTTCCCAAATGCGTCTGCAATTAGCATCTTCCATTACTACAGTAGGTTTAAATTGCAGATTCATCAAATCATATTCTGCCTATGGGGTTTCGAAAGGTTGTTTGCTTCATTGTGGACACCAGAAATTCCCCACCCCCCTTCTTTACTACGTACAGTAGGTTTAAATTGCAGATTCATCAAGTTAAACCCTCCATGTTGGGTTTCGAAAGGTCAATTGCTTCATTTCAGTTAATTACAGCTGATGTTATCATGTACAATTGATTATAAATTAATTCAACAACGGATATAGTGACTTTTTATTGAGCTTAGTATCCGCTAATCTGTCGTTCGGTGCGAAATTTTATCTGCATCAAGTCATTCACAACGACAAATTCGCTGTACTCGACTCAATAACTATCAGAACATTAAAACGGTTTCAAATTCGGTACACCTGTGACTCAGGGGCTTGGTAACCGAAGTTTTTGCATGAAGAACAAAATCCCGTCCGGGGCAAGCAAAACAATATTTATATGTGTGGTTTTTTTTTTCTTTTTGTTGCTTCTTTTTTTTTGGGGGGGGGGGGGGAGGGGGGGTCCCTCCCAGTGCCGCCGGATAATATTGGGCTGTGTGGAACATGCTAGAGTCGATTTGAGCATATCTGACCCACGGTATATGTTTGACACTGGTTGAGCATTATGATTATAATTATAATGTTGAAAACCGCATTGAAACCGCGTGATTTTCTGCCATTTGCGAGGGGGCACGAAAACTCAAGGGTGGCGCAAAAACTCAAAACCATGACGCAAAGCTCGTCATTGGGCACCTCTCACTTAGCCCTTGCTGTGGTTGTGCGGGGTAAACCCGACCTCTACCTCATTGACGTGCATGTAAAAGAAACTATTATATTAAGAGTCGAACTTTGAATAACAGTGCAGGGAATCCCCTGCCCCACACTAAAATTGGGTCAACAACATTAGTCTCAATGGAACCGAAACGTCAACCCCATTTCATCCAATTCCTGTATCTGCAAAGACTTTTCCAGAAGTTCACATTTTACTCTAAACACCAAATATTACACTAATTGTAAATAAATAAGCAATTAATTCCGCAAATATCAGAGTTCCAACCAGGGAAACTATCCAATCTATACGCAATTAACAATCAGAGATATTATAAAACGTAGACTATTTCATTAATTATACACAAACACAAACCACAGGATAAACATATTTCCAATTAAACAGCTATTTAATGTCTAGGTATGTGAAAGGAGTAGACGCTCTGATTATATAAATTGTATTTATCATTCTTCAAATAGAATTATACTTTTTTATTCCATTTGTTAAATTCATGATGATGGAACTCATGATGGCCCGGTGACATTCGCCAAACCTCTGCAGACCCCGATACCCTACATCAGCTAATCTCGGCTCAATGACGAATGCCGCCACTGGAACTACTTTAAACCAGAACTCTAAACATGTTACCGTAATGTCTCTGGTGACAAACGCAGCTACATTACATTTGTTAGATTCATAATGATGGAACTCATGATGGCCCGGATGACATTCGTCAAACCTCTGCAGACCCCGATACCCTACATCAACTAATCTCGGCTCTATGACGAATGCCGCCACTGGAACTACTTTAAACCAGAACTCTAAAAATGTTACCGTAAAGTCTCTGCTGACAAACGCAGCTACATTACGTCAGAACGCGCGAAATATATTACGCTCAATTAACTAGTACATAA